TAAAGCAGAAAAACCTCAAAAAACAGTAACAACAACAACAAAAAAAATAGGTCAATGTTGTCAGTTAAATACTTTGACCTGACAGTTCCTACAAACAGCAACTTCTGAATATAAAGGAAACCATTACCTGTGGTAAAAATTCTAGAGACGAAGTAGAAATGTGGAGTGAAAACACAACAAATCTGAGTTCATTATAGGCAGAACCTGTTTCTAATGAAACTCAGGGCAGTGGCCTACAAATCTAACGGGGGCTGTTTGTACCCTAAACCACTGGGAACATTTACACACATCTACACAGTCTCGCCAAACGGCAAGTTTCATTGAAGACACTAAAACGTTGTTTGCTTTCTACAGATCGCTGCAAGAAATTGTCATAAGGCTGCACCTTGCATAGGAAGTAGCTGTGTTGTCATGAAAACCTCTCAGCAGTGGAGAAAAAGTGAGCTTCTGAATGATGCCCACCTGTCACCAGGCACCTCATTTACCAGCCCAATTCATCCAGATCAAAAAGATTCACAGAAAGAAAGATGGCAATAACCGGTTACCAAAAAAATGACGCAGGTGTCAGAAAAGTGCGTCTTGTAGAAGGACTGCCATCCCTGGAGAAACCTTTTTGCATACACCCGCAAGCACTCACTGGAACTCTGCAAATGGATCTAAGTACTTTTTTGGAAAGCTGAAGTATAAGCAGCACAGGTTGTACAACTTTTCCAAGCCAGTGCTGCAGTAGAGCTCAGACCCAGGCCCTTTGGCTCAGTAGCCCTGGTGCAGTTGCATGGTGCCCAAGACGGTGCTATCCTATGGTAGCGCTGCTCTACCCACACACAGCTGGAGTACTCGAGAACACTGCTCAGCTCAGAGATGCTCTCAGCAGAGTCCCCAAAGCCATTGTAGTATCCGTAGTGCAAGTTCTCCCCCATGTTCTCCACCCAGGATGGCCTGCTGGCCACACAGCTGCTGGGGCTCCCATTCAAATGTAGAGACCCACACATCTCCCGGTTAATGCCCATAATCTTTTCTGGCTCCTCAGTCCCATTAACACAGACAGAACCCTGGCCACTCGGAAATGGCCTTCCTGGAATGAATCCATTGCTAATTCCACTAGATCCTGTTAAACACGGGTCAGTCCTGCTCTCCGTCCCACTGAGTGGGGCCACACAAGGGAAGTCCACATGTCCATTGATGACACTTCAATTTGTCAATGAATTCGACACGGAGCTACTGTTTTTCATATCTGATACAGCAGCAAACTCTCTGTCAATGTGCATTTTGTCTGCGTTGCCTTCCGTATCACCATTCTCGAATGGCATGGTGCAATGCAGGGTTGAACTCCGGTTCTAGCTTTCTTTATTTCCAAGGATTCCGAGTCTTCAAAGCATCTCTTTCGATTTGTTCCCAGGCTCACGTGATTGGGAAGTATGTTCTCATGACTTCCATTCAAGGTGCCATTATGACAGAAACAGCTCAGGTGATGGCTCTGGAGGCTCAAGAGAAACCGGGTGCACTCTCGAAAACCCTGGGTTTGTGCAATGTCTGCTGCTGACAGGCCACTGGCGTTTCTCAAGCTCAACAGTATGTCTTGTATGCTGAAAGGAAGCGATACTGAACATTCAATGCCCTAAGGGTTCGGAGAAGCATCTGTGGCACTTTCAGCAGTTTCTATAGGAATGCTCCCCCTTTCTAGGATTACTTGAAAAACATCAAGTCAATTCGAATTACGTAGTCGATGTGAGCCCCATTGGCCACCAGAGCACTGATGCACTTAAGGCTCCCTGAGCGGACCGCCTTGTGAATAGGAGTTTCCCCCTCACAGTTCGGTTTTTTAATGTTGGCCCCAGCTTGAATCAGCCAGACTAGGCACTGGGGATGTCCTCCAAAAGCAGCAATGTGGGCCTGGGTCTGGGCATTGCTGGTGGCAGAGACATTCAGTGTGGCTCCCGCTTTCACCAGCTGGATTAAGCACTCCAACTTGGTGACGTTCGGGGCCCAGTGCACTGGCATCCAGTCGTAGAAAGAGTCCTCGGTGGTCAGGTGGGCGAGCGGCGTTTGCGGCAGCAGCAAGCAGAGAGCGGCCAGGTCCCCGTCGAGTGTTTTGCTTGCATGTATGCAAGTGCACCCGTGCATGCAGTTCCCACGGAGATACTGTTCTTACCGCTCTGTGGGTGCTGGGAACCAAACCCAGGTCCTCTGCAAGAGCAGCTAGTGCTCTTAACCTTTGAGTCATCTCTCCAGCCCCTTAATTTTCATTTATTTTTATTTTTCATGTGTGTGTTTTGCCTCCTTGTGTTTAAGTGCACCACGTGCATGCAATACAGATGGAGGCCAGAAGAGGGTGTTGGATCCCCCTGGAACTGGAGTTAACAGCCAGTTGTTAGCTGCCATGTGGGTTCTGGGAACCTAACTCAGGTCCTCTGCAAGAGCAGACAGTACTCTTACCTGCTAAGCCATCTCTCCAGCCCCAGAAAATAAATCTTTGAAAAATTGCTACAATCCTCCTGCCTCAGGCTCCCAAGTGCTAGGACTGAAGGAGAGAGCCACAAGGCCTGGCTGTTATAAACATCTCTTTGTTCCCATGCATCAGTTTCAGTAAAAACTACAGATATGTAGATTCTCACTGAATTTTCAGAGTCCAAAGTACCAACCATTATACCATAGAAGAACCACATTCATTAAATGTTGACTGGAGGACTGGAGAGATGGCTCAGTGCTTAAGAGCACTGGCTGCTCTTGCAGAGGACCTGGGTTCAGTTTCCAGCACCGCACCTGGGCACTAACAACCATCTGTGGCTCCAGTTCTAGGGGATCTGATGCCCTCTCCTGGCCTCCAAAGGCACTGCATGCATGTAGGTACACTTCATGCAGGCAAAACACTCATACACATAAAATAAAAATAAAATTTTCACATTCAGGCTTGGTGGTGCACGCCTTTAATCCCAGAACACAGAGGCAGAGGCAGGTGGATCTCTATGAGTTCAAAGGTAGCCTGGTCTACATAATGAGTTCCAGGCCAGCTGGGGCTACAGTGAGATTCTGTCTCAAAAAGACCAAAAAGTAAAAAAGATAAATAATAAATTTAAAAATACTTTAAATGATGACTGGATTCCACAGATCTTCCATCTATGCTCTGGGGGGAGGGTGTCTCAGAAAAGAAACCATGCCAAAGACAATGAACTTGGTTTATTTATTTATTCCTTCACTGAAAGAATTTAGGCTAGGGTGAGGAGCAGGAAGACAGGGCTGCTGGTACAGGAACACAATACCATCGGAGTCAAGGAAGGTGAGCAAGGGGGATTAGTGCCTGGGTTCTCCCTCCACCACTGGGTCTGTTCCGGCTCTAGTCACCCTTAAGGAGACTAAGTATCTGGTCCGTAAAAATGCCTGCGTAAGTGCTCATGGCAGCCGAGCTTTTGCTGTACATGTCCCTGGAGAGAGAGCACAGAGGGCTGACAGGAGGAGACTAGAGCCTGGAGCCCTGGGTCTGAGAGAGGAAGGCTGGGGCCTAGACCCTTATGTCTGAGGGAGGAGGCTGGGGCCTGCACCCCTGGGTCTGAGGGAGGAGGCTGGGGCCTGCACCCTTGGGTCTGAGGGAGGAGGTTGGGACCTGTCTCCACTGGTCTGGACATACCTGAGTTTCTCATCCATATCACGCAGGTATGTTTTCTTGTACAGGTCCTGGGCGACTGCTTTGGCTGAGACCCAGTAACTAGAGAAGGACTCCAGTAGTGCTGGACTGCCTGCTTCATCTTGCTGGGCCCCCTGGACTTCTGTGGCAAACATGGGATGATAGGTTAGGGGAGCTGAGGGGGATTTGAAGGAAGGAGAGGAGTGGCAGAGGAGGGTGGGAAGATGCTTGAAGCTCATCCCCCCACCTCCCCATCCTCCCATCTCCGTCTCCTCACATGCCTCCCTCTGCACAGCCATACTTACCATAGCCCAACACCAGAAGGACAAGGAACAAAGCCAGGAGGAAACGGGGGCCCATGTTGTAGGTGACCTGGAATACAGAGGACAGTATCATGGGTGTTGGACGGCAGGGTCACAGGGCAGTCTGTTCCTGGGGTCCTACTCTACTCACAGAGGGGCTGGGACCCTACTCTGTCCCCAGCTCCTGTCCAACAGGGGTTCTCAGTATGTTAACTCAGGTGAGGCATCTCCTCGATTCTACTCTGGATATGGGTGTTTGTTTGTTTTTAGAGACGGTCTCACTCTGTAGCTCCAGCTGTCCTGGAACTAGACCAGTAGACCAGGCTGGCCTTGAACTCAACAGAGATCCACCTGCCTCTGCCTCCCAAGTGCTGGGATTGAAAGAGTGCGCCCCAGCCCTTTATTTTTTAAATTATTTTATTTATTTATTTATTTATTTATTTATTTATTTATTTATTTATTTAGGCAGGGTTTCATGTAGCCCAGACTGTCCTCAAACTGACTGTATCGCCTAGGATGACCCTGGATTTCTGATCCTCCTGCTTCTACCTCCCAAGTGCTGGGTGGTGTGCATCACCACTGGTTTATTCTGTTCTGGGGATTAGACCCAGGACTTTGTGCATGACAGGCAAGCACTCTACCAATTGAGCCATATCCCCAGGCTCACTTAACATTGTATTTTTTTATTTTTTATTTTTCGGTCTTTTTGAGACAGGGTCTCCCTGTAGCCCCAGCAGGCCTGGAACTCATTATGTAGATCAGGCTGGCCTTGAACGCACAGAGATCTGCCTATCTCTGCCTCCTGAGTGCTGGGATTAAAGGCATGCACCACCACGCTCGGCCCTTAACATTGTATTTTATTTGTCTTTTTTTGAGATGGTTTCCCTGTAGCCCCAGCTGACCTGGAACTCACTATGTAGACCAGGCTGTCCTCGAACTCACAGAGATCCGCCTGCCTCTGTCTCCCAAGTGTTGGAAATAAAGATGTGTGCCACCATGCCTAGCAACGTTTTATTTTTTAATTAATTAACTAATTAATTTTGTTTCTTATGTGTATGAGTGTTTTGCCTGCATGTATGTAAGTGTACCACATGTGCACAATGCCTAGGGAGGCCAGAAGAAGGTGTCAGATCCCCTAGAACTAGAGTTACAAACAGTTGTTAACCACCATGTGGGTGCTGGGAATCAAACCCGGGTCTCCGCAAGAGCAGCCAGTGCTCTTAACCACTGAGCCATCTCTCTAGCTCCCACCCTTAACATCTTAATTTCCACATCTTCTCATTCATTTCTTCACTCTAGAAAGCTATCTTAAAGTCTGAACAGTCCCAGCCTGGCAGGAAACAGAAGAAAAAGCCCCCACCCATGTCAGCTTTATGGTTCAATGGGTAAAGGGTGCTTGCCACCAAGCCTGACCACCTGAGTTTGATCCCTTAGTCCCACATGGCGAAAGGAGAGAAAGGAACTCCCCAAGTTGACCCCTGACTTCTACATATGTGCCATGGTCCCCATGTGCTTTCACACACATAATAAAAATAAATAAATAAATGTAATAAAAGGTGGGGTTTTTTTTTTGGGTTTTTTTTTTTTTTTTTTTTTTTTGGTCTTTTTGAAACAGGGCTCCCTGTCTCAAAAAACCAAAAGAAAAAAAAAAAAAAAGAAAAAAGAAAAATCTCCATATCTGTTTAAACCATGAGAACTGTACAGACACTTGCCTCTCAGACATCACTCACATTTATGACACTTAAGTGTCCCCTGAACCTGTGTTTAGCCCAGCATTGCTCATCTGTCCTCTCCTGTTTCCTGTGGCTTGTGTGGCCAGGGCACAAAATTATCACCCACATTTTGAGGGATGAGAAATTGAGGCAGCAAGAGGTTGAGACTGAACCTGGGAGACAGGCCAGGCTGAAGAAATATACTACAATTCTAAACTGTGATTTTGGCTAGGCTTGCAGGAGCAAGCCTGTAATTCCAACACTGGAGAGGCTGAGGCAGGAGGATCATAAATTCAAGACTAGCCTGGGACTATGTAGTGAGACCCCAGCAAAGGCATCTCTGAGATTAAGGGTGGCCAGGTCTATATAGCACACTCCAGGTTTGCCAGAGCTATATAGTTAGACCTAGTCTCAAAAAAGAAAACAAATGCCTGGTGTTGTGGCTCATGCCTTCAGTCCTAGCACTTGGAGTTAAGAGGCTGGCGGATCTCTGTGAGATCAAGGCCAGTTTGGTTTACATAATGAGTTCCAGGTCCTCTGAGGCTACAGGGAGACCCTGCCTCAGACAAACAAAAAAAAACAAAACAAAACAAAAAACAAATCCTTAAATTCCATGATTGCAACACAGGTATCTGCTGAGAGGGTGACTACTGCAATTTCTGATTTAGGAATCTTTGCCCCTCCTATTGACACCCCTCTGTCCCTTCTTACCTGGCTACCTCTGGCAGGATGGGACTGTCTTTACTAACTGCAGTGGGCTGGCAGGCTTTATAGCTCTGGAGGGCAACCCCACCTCTACAGCAGCCACATCCTCTGTCCTAGGCCAAAGTCCTGGCCAACACAGCTGCCGGGGGAGTGGCGTGGAAGCAGGGGGTCAGGAAGGACAGTGGCCAGAGATGTTCCCAGCCTGGTAACATTACTGGTAGGAAGTGATGTTCCCTGGTAGGGAAGCCCCACTCTGAAATTCATCCCTGAAGCTGAACAGACCTGTAACCCCCAAGCTCTTTCAGGAAGCTGAGGCAGGAGTATCATGAATTCAGGGCCTGCCAGTGCTAGAGTGAGTTCAAGGATCATTGCAACATAGTGAGATCTTGTCTGAAAATGAAAACATTTTGTATTTATTTATTTACTTGCTTAATTTTTAATTTTTTTTTTTCACACAGGGTCACATCTAGCTGAGGCTACGCTGGTACTCACTACATAGCTGAGGTTGGTCTTGAGCTCCTGATCCTCCTGCCTCTACCTTCCCAGTGCTGGGACCATGCCCAGTTGCCACCATGCCCAACTCAAAATAAAAAGTAAACAGGCCTGATGGGTGTGGTGGCACCCACATTTAATTCTAGTACTCAGGAGGCAGAGGTAGGGGGAACTCTGTGAAATTGAGGATAGCCTGATCTACATATTGAGTTCTAGGCCAGCTGGGGCTACAAAGTGACTCTGTCTCAAACAAAACAAAACAAAAACAAAACAAAACAAAAATGTAACAGTGAGATGGCTCAGCAGGTAAAGGTACTTGTTGCCAAGACTCACCAACCTGAGTTCAATCTCTGGGACTCATATGCTGGAGGGAGAGAACTGACTCCCGCAGGTTGTCCTCACCCAGACACACACACACACACACACAAACAAATAAATAGGGGCTGGAGAGATGGCTCAGCAGTTAAGAGCACAGGCTGCTCTTACTTGCTTAATTTTTAATTTTTTTTTTTCACACAGGGTCACATCTAGCTGAGGCTACGCTGGTACTCACTACATAGCTGAGGTTGGTCTTGAGCTCCTGATCCTCCTGCCTCTACCTTCCCAGTGCTGGGACCATGCCCAGTTGCCACCATGCCCAACTCAAAATAAAAAGTAAACAGGCCTGATGGGTGTGGTGGCACCCACATTTAATTCTAGTACTCAGGAGGCAGAGGTAGGGGGAACTCTGTGAAATTGAGGATAGCCTGATCTACATATTGAGTTCTAGGCCAGCTGGGGCTACAAAGTGACTCTGTCTCAAACAAAACAAAACAAAAACAAAACAAAACAAAAATGTAACAGTGAGATGGCTCAGCAGGTAAAGGTACTTGTTGCCAAGACTCACCAACCTGAGTTCAATCTCTGGGACTCATATGCTGGAGGGAGAGAACTGACTCCCGCAGGTTGTCCTCACCCAGACACACACACACACACACACAAACAAATAAATAGGGGCTGGAGAGATGGCTCAGCAGTTAAGAGCACAGGCTGCTCTTGCAGAGGACCTGGGTTCAATTCCCAGCACCAACATGGCAGCTAACAACCAGTAACTCCAGTTCTAGGGGCTCCAACGCCCTCTTACGACCTCTGCAGGCATTGCACAACACAGATGTACTTACCTACATGTAGACATTACACTCATACACATAAAACAAAAATAATAAATGTTTAGAAATAAATAAATAAATGTAATAAAAAAAAGAGGACTGAGAAGCCGGGCATGGTGGCATATACCTTTAGTCCCAGCACTTGGGAGGCAGAGACGGGCAGATCTCTGTGAGTTTGAGGCCAGCTTGGACTCCATAGTGAATCCAGGCCAGCTGGACCTATAGGGAGACAGAGGACTGGGGATGAAGCTCCCATGATAGAGAACCAGCATGTGTGAGGCCCTGAGTTCAATCCCCAGAATGCTCCTCCCACAGTCCTCCCACACTGAGAGAGATTGGTGTAGTTGAATATTGTGGAGGAGGTTTTAAGATTCTGGGGCCCATCTGAAATAGGATTTGGGGTCTGTATGTGCTAGGAAGTAAGGGCACTGTGGGGGTGTGGATCATGTGTCTTCATTATCAAGACTTCAGCTCCTGATTCTGCAATGGCGCCGGGAAGTCTCCTAGCACCCTGAGCTGGAACCACATGGGAAAGGTTATCACCTTGGCCTCTTCCTTCAGCTCCCCTAGTGTCCCTCCCCTGCCAGGTAACACCTCTTCCACTCATTAACTTCTAGATCTGGGCAGGGAGGGGTGACCTCTGGCCTTAAAGAGGAGTGAGGCAGACAGGAAAAGAACACAGATTAAGAACGAACCTCTTTATTGTGGATGCTGGGGAAGGTGTGGGGCACTTTAACCCTGAGTTCAGTCCCTGCACAACAGCCAGGGACACAGGCTGTGGGTCTTATTCAGGAGGCTGTCCCTGGAGCTCTGTACCCAGGCCTGAGTGCGGGGACCCAGGTCTTTCAAGTGGTCTTCATAGTAGGTCTGCACGAAGCCCTGGAAGGCCCCAGGGCCCCTGTGTGGAGGGGACATTTTAGTTGACACTCCGGGTATGGCCCATTTACTTCCAGTCTCTTTTAGACCCAGGGCTCCAGACTGCAGCCCTTTGCCCCCCAGATTCAATGGTCCAACCCCAGCCCTCCTCCCTCAGAACCCAGGGATGCTGACTCAGGCCTCCTCCTGACACCTGGTAACTCAGGCCCAGCACTCTTCCCTCAGATCCAGGGTCCAGGCCCTAATCCCCGTCCCTCTGACTCTGGTGTTGCAGCACTGCCCCTCCCAGTCAAGCACCCAAACTCTCTCACCAGAACCTCTGCCACCTGTCCCTGATCCCGGTCACCAGCGGCTCTGCCATCTCTTTCACCCTGGCCTTCACCAGGTTCCAGCGGCTGCTCTCAGGGCCAGGTGCGGGGCTCACACTTTCTGTAGTCACACATACTGAGGGTGATCAGCGAAGGGCTTGAGTGGGCCCGAACCCCTGAGCCCCATTCCTCCCTCTTCATGCGTGCCCAGCCTCTGTCATTCCTGGGGACATGTGCGTCCTCGCTCCTAGGCACCCATATCATCTGCCATCATCATAGGCCGCACCTATGATTTTCACCTGTCCTTAACTAGTTTCCCACCATATAGAGCGGGGCCCATATAACTCTTCCTACCCAAGAGTTATAGTGTGACTCAGGAGGGAATGAACTGGAAGGTGCCTTACATATTGAATGCCCTTCTGGATCCATGGCCACCAGCCTTGTTCCTCTGTCCCTCTGACCCCAGTACCTTTGCTCCCACTGTCCATCTCCTCTCCGCCATCACTTGTCTCTCTTCTCTAACCACCTAACCCTACTTCAGGGGGATGGCCCCTGACTCAGGACAGCCCCTGTCCCCTAGTCCTCCTGTGCCTCCACCCAAGAAGCTGGGAGCCATCTCCACACACAGTGGAACAAGAGCACCCTGTGATTCGTCCTCTCCCACGGACATTGCCTGGATTTGTTCTCAGTCCCTTTGGGTCACAATTCTCTTCCTTGTGTGCATACACACACACACACACACACACACACACACACACACACACACACTGCTCCAGCACACACACACCTAGATAGAGCCTTACCCACAGACACCAGTCAACGCACAAGTGCACATGTGCATGCTTATAGTTTTTGTTTGTGGCCTGGCCTCAATCTGTGCTTCCCCCACCTCCCCAAAAGTAACTTGACAGAAAAAAATCAAAGATCAGAGGTCAGTGTGAGATTTGAGACCGGATGTCGTATGGGGACCCTGTAGAAAGCCAGAGACATAGATATGACCACACAAACCTGGCATCAAACATCTGTGATCTCAGCATTTGGGAGGCTGAAGTAGGAGTTCCATGCCAGTCTCAGCTACACAGAGTTCAAGGCCAGCCTGAGCTACCTGAGACCCTATCTCAAAACAAAACAAAACAAAATAAATAAACAGCAGCAACAATAGTGCAAGGCATGGTGGTGCACGCCTTTCATCCCCACACTTGAGAGGCAAAAGCAGGTGGATCTCTGTGTGTTCAAGTCCAGCCTGGTCTACACAGTGAGTTCCAGGCCAGCTGGGGCTACAGGCAGACACTGTCTCAGAAAGACCAAAAAACAGCAACAACAATAACAAAACTTACCTAAGCCCGTCACTGAACTTGCACATTAATTGCAACTGCAACTGGGTCTAAGGGGCTGGGGATACAGCTGAGCTGGTAGAGTACTTGCCTCACTTGCATAAGGCCCCAAGTTCCATGCCCAGTGCCATATAAACTTGACTTGATGGTACACATCTGCAATCCAGCACTCAGGAAGTAGAGGCAGGAGGACAAAAATTCAGGGTCATCCTCAGCTACATTTGGGGTTGGAAGCCAGCCTGGACTTCCTGAGACCCTGTTTCTATAATCATGAACCAAAAAAAAAAAAACAAACAAAAAAAAAAAGAAAGAAAAGAGAGAGAAAATAAAGATAAAATAAAAATGAAAATAAGCCAGGTACACGCCTTTAATCCTAGCACTCAGGAGGCAGAGGCAGGCAGATCTCTGTGAGTTCAAGGCCAGCCTGGTCTACATAGTGAGTTCCAGGACAGCTGGGGCTACAGGGAAACCCTGTCTCAAAAAGAAAAAAAAAAGAGAAAATAAAACAAACTTCAGCTGACCATTTGGTTAAAGTAGTAGAGTATTTGCCCAGCATGTGCAAAGCACTGTGTTTTGTCCCCAACGCATGCATGTATACACACACACACACACACACACACACACACACATACACACACAAAGATAACTAATATGCTTTTCCTTGAATATACACAAGTGCGTACAAACAACAACTGTCCTTTGTTCCAAGCTCACATTTCTGTTTTATCCTCAGCTCCCTCCCCACCTCACTGTGTACAAATGCAGCGTGTTACACCTGTCTTACATGTATACCAACTGACTAGACACAGTCACACTCCAACGCTGCCTGGGGGATCCCACCTCCACAGAGCCCCACTCCTCACCCACAATGCAGGCCAGACCCAGGATGCAGAGGCAGAGTGAAGGCAGAGCCTGCAGCCTGCATCTCAGCAGGGACATTTCTGGGGCCTCCTTCCCTTAGTCTCTCTGTTCTGTGACAGGCAGTAGGGCCCGCCCCTTGTCACCTCCCCACTCCCCTTGGCATGACTTCAAAGAGGCCTGGTGACAGTGACAGAGGCTTTGCCCACCCCTTCTGGCCTGTCTCTTTCCTCCCCTCCAAGGGTGCTGCTTTGACCTGACAAAAGACAGAAAGCTCAGACACTGAACTGAAGTCAAAGCCCAATTCACCTCACTAGACTTCCCCTTTTCCTGGACTCAGTTTTTTCCTGTGGGAATTGGGACCACAGTCTATGCTTGAGGAATTTAGGGAGTGATGTTGTTTTGTTTTGTTTCTTCTGTTTTGTTTTGAGATAAGGTATCAAGTAGCCTAGGCTGGCCTTGAACCCACTATGGCTAAAGCTGGCCATGAATCCTTATCCTCCTGCCTGCACCTCCCAGGTGTTGAGATTATAGGCATGTGCCACCACATCTGGCTCTATTTACTTATTTATATTTCTTTTATGTGTATGAATGTTTTGCCTGTATGTATGTAGGTGCACCCCGTTGTGAAATGTGAGGCCATGGAGGCCAGAAGAGGACGCCGGATCCCCTGGAACTGGAGTAACAAATAGTTGTTAGTCATCATGTGGGTGGGTGTTGGGACCTGAGCCCAGGTTTTCTGCAAGAGCAGCCAGTGTTCTTAACTGCTGAGCCATCTCTCACCATCCCCCACTTTTTAAAATTTTATGTATAGGAGTGTATTGCCTGCATGTATGTAAGTACACCCATGTCATGCAATGCCCATGGAGGTCATAAGAGGGAGCTGGATTCTCCTGGAACTGGAGTTACGGATAGTCGTTAGCCACCATGTGGGTACTGGGACATGAACTCAGGTCCTCTGCAAGAGCAGTAGGTGTTCTTAACTGTTGAACCATCTTGCTAGCCTTTTTTTGTTTTTTGAAACTGGTTCTCCAGCAGGACAGACTGGCCTTGAATTTATGATCCTCCTGCCTCCCTGTCATGAGTTATGGATGACTGATGGTTATTGCCATGAGTGTGGCATGTCTCAAAACAGGATCTCAAGCCGGACAAGGTGGTGCACGCCTTTAGTCGCAGCACTCGGGAGGCAGAGGCAAGTGGATCTCTGTGAGTTCAAAGTCAGCCTGGTCTACATTGTGAGTTCCAGGGAAGACCCTGTCTCAAAAAGACAAAACAAACAAACAAACAAAAAAAAAATACAAAACAAAAACCCAAAAAACAAAAACAAAAACAGGATCTCAGCTGAACAACTTTGCAGTACATTCCTGACCTCTGACCCTATACAAACTTTTGGAGTTCCTTGCTCACAATTAAAAACCCAAAAAAGGGGCTGGAGAGATGGCTCAGCAGTTAAGAGCACTGCCTGCTCTTGCAGAGGACCCGGGTTCGATTCCCAGCACCCACCTGGCGGCTACGAACCGTCCTTAACTCCAGTTCCAGGGGAATCCGATGCCCTCTTCTGACCTCCGCTGCATTGCACGACATGGGTGCACTCACATACATGCAGGCAATACACTCATACACATAAAATAATAAAATATTTAAAAAAAAAAACAAAAAAGATCACCTAGAGAGCTGCTGTTTGTGAGGATGTGAAAGTTCTTGAAACAGACTGTGATGTTAGTTGCACAACAGTGTAAATGGATTTAAATATCACTGACCTCAACACCGGAAACTGGCTAAAATGGTAACATTTATGTCCTGTGATTTTTTTTTTTTTTTTATTTTGGTCTTTTTGAGACAGGGTCTCCCTGTAGCCCCAGCTGTCCTGGAACTCACTATGTAGACCAGGCTGGACTTGAACTCACAGAGATCTGCCTGCCTCTGCCTCCTGAGTGCTGGGATTAAAGGCGTGTGCTACCATGCCCGGCATGTCCTGTGATTTTTACCACAACAGAAAAAAAAAAAAACAGAAGGAAAAACCAAAGGAACATGTGTCCCTGTGTCATGTTATGACAAGGGCCTTTGGTCAGGTGCGGTGTTACAAGCCTGGAATTCCAGCACTCTAGAGACTGAGACTGGGATTGAGGCCTGCTTGAGTGACATAGGAAGACCCCTGCTCCCCATAAAATCAGGGCCGGTGTGGGGTTCAGAGCCAGACTCCACCTCTTTTCAAAGGTGTGACCTGGTCCAAGTTGCTTAACCTCTTGGGCAGAGTACTTCATCCTGAAACAGGATTGGCCAATGACCTGTTTTGTAGGCTGGCCTGAGAGAGGACAGAAGATCAGGAGACAGAGCACAGGAGGGAGGGGCCTCCATGGCGTGATTGCCAGTTACTATTATTTATTAATTTTTGTTTTTTGATAAGGGTTCTCTCTAAATAGCTCTAGGAGCTTTGAACTGTGGTCCTCCCGCCTTCCAAGTGCTGTGCTTCCAATTCCTTGGGACACTACACCCAGTTTTATTCAGGGCCAGGAATTGAACGCAGGCCCACCTACTTGCTAAGCAAGTACTCTGGATACACTGAGCTACAGCCCCAGCCTGATGATCTTTACTTAGCATGTGTTTCTATAGCACACACTGCTCCAGGTCCCAGAGCAGGTCTCATACAGACTCTAAGAGGGGAGAGCTATGGCATGCCCCACTATTTTTTTCCAGGTGGTCTGGAAGTTGCTATGAGGAAGAGGCTGGTGTTGAACTCACAGGGATCTGCCTGCCTCTACATCCCAAGTGTTGGGACTAAAGTTATGCACTATGCTGGCCTGAGTTTTTGTTTGTTTGTTTGTTTGTTTTTTTGTTCTTTTTGAGACAGGGTCTCCATGTAGCCCCAGCTGTCCTGAAACTCACTATGTAGACCAGGCTGGCCTTGAACTCACAGAGATCCACCTGCCTCTGCCTCCCGAGTGCTGGGATTAAAGGTGTGCACCACCATGCCCAGCTTGTTTGTTTTTTAGTGCTGTGATGGAACCCAGGGCCTCTGCATACTACCAAAGCAATCCACCACTTAGCTACGCCCCCAGCCCCTCACTAGGGGATTCTAGGCAGGGGCTCTACCACTAAGCCATGCCCTCAGTCTCTTACTGGGGGCATTTAGGCAGGTGCTTTACTGCTGATCCATACCCCCAGCCCCAGCATTCCTCTTTCATGATGAGGAAACTGAGGCAGCAGGTGGTGATGGGATTTGAACCTAATTGTCTTTCATCATCTGGCCCAGGCCCCTCCCCATGCAAACCCTACAGTCCAAGAGGGACGGTAGGAAGGAGGTGGGCTTATGTTGGGAGAGGTCTCTGTCCTCTGTCCTCAAGACAAGGTCAGTGTGTGAGGTGGCATGTGGGATGTTTGCTGTTTGCTGCTTGCAATGTTTGCTCATCTTGGGGACAGGAACAGGCTCGCTGAAGGTCGCACAGGGTGGACCTCAGGGGCAGCTCAAGAGCAGAGAAGGGGATGGAGGTAGGAAGTGCACAGAGCAGGCAGAGAATGGGATGGGGTAGGGATTCCGAGACCTCAGTGTGTCTGAGGTCTTGGGAGCCTCTCTTAGACCCAAGCTGTCCTTCAAGGCACCAGGCCTGCCTCTTCGGCCCTTTCCTTTTAAAGATTTATTATTATTATTGATTTTTTGAGACAGGGTCTCCCCGTAGCCCCAGCTGGCTCAGAACTCACTATGTAGATCAGGCTGGCCTCAATCTCACAAAGATCCTGCCTCTGCCTCCTGAGTGCTAAGATCAAAGCTATGCACTGCCGCCACCATGCCTGGCTCTATTTTTATTATTTTTAATTATGTGTGTGTCTGTTTGTGGGCATGTGCAGGTGCCTGCAGAGGTCAGAGGTGCTGGATCCCGCTGGAGTTGAGGTTACAGGTAGTTGTGAACCGCTTGATATGGGTGCTGGGAACTGAATTCTTGTCCTCTGGAAGAACAGTACATGCTCTTAAACCACTGAGTTATCTCCCCAGTGCCATCCCCCTCACTTCCACCTTTCCTCTGTGTGTGTGTGAGAGAGAGACAGAGAGACAGAGAGAGACAGAGTCTCACACTGTAGCTCAGCCTGGTCTTGAACTCGTGGTTATCCTCCTGTCTATAATTTCCAAGTTCTGAGTCTCCTCTCCTCCTGGTCCCAGGTCCGCCCTGCAGTTGAGAACTCCTGCTGTTCCTCCTGAGTCCCCATACTCCCTACCCCCTTGCTTCCAAGATGTCACTCACTGCTTTCCTCTCCATCTGACTGCTCTGGGTTGTAGCAGGGAGGACTGGGATGAAAACCTGTTTAAGGGGTTGAGCATGTGATGCATCTGAGGAGGTAAAGTGCCTGCGCTTGAGCGAAGCCCTGGGTTCTATCCCCAGCACTGCATAAAACCATACGTGGTGGCTCATGCCTATAATCCACACACCCACAATTAAACTGGTTAATTTAATAATGCTTTTTACATTTTCAGTTAGTGTGTGTGTGTGTGTGTGTGTGTGCGCGCGCGCGCGTGTGTACGCAAATGTGCGTATGCCAGGATGCACATATTGAGGTTAGAAGACATCTTGAGGGAGTCCATTCTCTCCTTCTGCTTGTAGGTCCTGGTGAATTCAGATTGTCTAGTTTGGTAGAAGGTGCCTTTAACTGTTGAACCATCTTGCTGGCCCCATCAATTTATTTATTTATTTTTGTCTTTTTTTTTTTTTGTCTTTTTGAGACAGGGTTTCCCTGTAGCCCTAGCTGGCCTGGATTCACTATGGAGACCAGGCTGGCCTCGAACTCAGAGAGATCTGCCTGCCTCTGCCTCCCAAGTGCTGGGATTAAAGGTGTGCGCCACCACACCTGGCCTAAGATTTATTTATTTTAGGCAGTGTGTGGTGGTGCATGCCTTTAATCCCAGTACTCTGGAGGCAGAGGCAGGTGGATCTCTATGAGATTGAGGTCAGCCTGGTCTACATGGTGAGTTCCAGGCTAACTGGGGCTACAGGGAGACCCTGCCTCAAGAGAAACAACAAAAAAGAAAGAAAAAGATTTATTTATTTTTATTTTATGTGTATGACTGTTTTGCCTCTATGTATGTAAGTGCACTTCTGCATGCAATGCACGAAGAGGCCGGAAGAGGGCATCAGATCCCCTGGAATTGAAGTTATGGTTGTGAGCTGCTATGTGGGTGCTGGGATTTGAACCCAGGTCCTCTGCAAGAGCAGTCAGTGCTCTTAACTACTGAGCCATCTCTCCAGCCTCTATTGCTATTTTTTTCTTTTTTCTTTTGAGACAAGGTCTCCCTGTAGCACCAGCTGTCCTGGAACTCACTATGTAGACCAGGCTGGCCTTGAACTCACAGAGATCTGTCTGCCTCTGCCTCCCAAGTGCTGGGACTATAGGCGTGTACCACCACCCCTGGCAATTTTTTCCATTTTGCCTAATTCTCAGTCATCAAGTTGCAGGAGGTACATTCTCTCAGGAAACCCCTCATGACCCCGAGCCTGACCAGAGTTCAGAGTTTCCTACCCCTGCCTGGTCCTTCTTGTGGGATGTATGTCACGGGGTGGGGCTGCAGCTGTCTAGGACTGCCTCAGGGGTGCCCGGCAGTGTGACTATCTCTACACATACAACTGCAACTCTCTGGGTGTCTCTATCTTGGAGGTATTGGGGCCCTTTGAAGTCTCAAATCCTGACAGTTTGTTTGTAATCCTAAAAGGAATAAACATCTGTGGGTGGGCAGTGTGGTTGGGGAGTGTCCTATCCCCTGTCTATGTCTGGATTCAGCTAGTCTGTTTAATCTGGAGTGTTGGTGCATGCCTGAAATTCTAGTACTTTTGGAAGCAGAGGTAGGAGGATTGTTACCAGTTCCAGGAGGATTGTTACCAGTTCCAGATCAGCTTGGGCCTCAGCAAGTATATAGCAAGACCCAGTCTTGAAGAAAGGAAGGAAGGAAGGAGGGAGGGAGAGAGGGAGGAAGGGAGGAAGGACCAGGTTGACCTGAAACTCACAGAGATCCACCTGCCTCTGCCTCCCGAGTGCTGGAATTAAAGGCATGGGCCACCAGCCTCCATCCGCCACTTAAAGTTTAATGAGCACCTACTGTGTGGTGATGAATCAAACCCAGATAGATTAAGAGAGGGTAGAACAGCAATCCTGTCAGGCAAAACATTCAGACCCCATTTCCTGCTTGCTGACTCTATGACCTTGCACCAGAGCTCTACGAACAGTGTCCAGCTCAGAGTTGTCAGGAGCCCAAAAGTGGGCTCATGAAATTAAAACAGGGCAGGTGGAGTTGAGGAGTCAATTAAGTCTCTGAGCTTTCCCTCAGCTCTCACCCTCAGCTCCCGCCCTCAGTTCCTGTCCCAGTCAAAAGCACCTCAGGGTGAGTTCTCTGTAGGCTTTTTATTGGCATGAAGGACCTGCCTATCAGGTATCATATATCACGTGGAGGTTGAGACCAAGATGGGGTGTGGTCAGCCAGGAGCTCAGGCGAATGTGGTTTTGATCTTCTCCTTCACTTTGCCATATGTTTCTGAAAACCAGTTCCTTTGGAGAGAGGTGGAGACAAAGTCACTGTCTGAGGCTACCCTCCAGGGTGCGCAGACCCCTCTCCCCCAGTCTCTTGACGCTCGCTTTCCCTAATCGCCATCCTCACTGTGAGATTAGGTAAACTATGGGTTGGGTGGACCAGTTTCTGTGCCTCGGTTTCCTCATGTAGACCTGAGCATTTCTTTGATTTTTGAGACAGTCTCATGTAGCTTAGGCTTGCCTCAATCTCACTATGTATCTGAGGATGACCTTGAGATTTCAATTCTTCTGCTTCCACCTTTGAGTGTTGGGATTATAGGCATGTACCACCAAGCCTGGCAAATGTGGTGCTGAGAATTGTACCCAGGGCCTCTGCATGCTAGGCCAGCACTCTACCTAACAGCTGAGCAATATCTTCAGCTCAGATCAGAGTGTCTGGCTCCTAAGTCAAAGAGTTTCATCTTGGGGAGCTGGAGAGATGGCTCAGTCATTAAAAGCACTGGTTGCTCTTGCACAGCACCTGGGTTCGAATCTCAGCACCCACATGATGGCTAACAACTGTCCTTAACTCCAGTTCCAAGGGACCTGACACTCTCTTCTGACCTCTTCAGGCATTTGCACAGTACAGGTGTACTTACATATATGCAGGCAATATACTCACATACATAAAATTTAAAAATTAACTTTTAAAAAAAATTTTACTTACTATTTTTATTTTATTTGTATGCATGTATTGCCTGCATGTAGGTAAGTGCACCAGTGTCGTGTAATGCCTGCAGAGGTCAGAAGAGGCTGTTGGATCCCCTGGGACTGGAGTTAACGGACAGTTGTTAGCTGCCACGTGGGTGCCGGGATTCAAACCCGGGTCTTCTGCAAGAACAACCAGTATTCTTAACTGCTGAGCCATCTCTCCAGCCCCTTAAAAATTAACTTTAAAAAAAAAAAAGAATTTCATCTTGGTCAGGTGTCCTGGAACATGTCTTTAGTCCTATCGTTGGGGAGGCAGACACAGGCACATCTCTGTGAGTTCAAGGCCAGCCTGGTCTACATAGGGAGTTCCAGGCCAGCCAAGACTATATAATGAGACACTGTCTAAAAAAAAACAAAAACAACAGCAAAAGGAACTTTATCTTTACCTGAAATTCAAGGCCTGCCTCTATGTGTGTGTGTGTGTGTGTGTGTGCGTGCGCGCGCGCAGATGTGCCTGCCTGTATGTGTGGGCAGTGTGTGTGTGCATGTATGCAAGTTCATGTAGAGGCCAACCTCAGGTTGTTCCATTGTTCCTTAGGCACTATCTACCTGTTAAAGCTAGGCTAGCCCCAGGGATCTGCCTAGGCTAAAGGCATATTCTAGGACATCTGGCCAAGATGAAATTCTTTTTAAGTTAATTTTTAAATTTTTAATTTTTGCCAGTCACTGGGATTACAGGCCTGCAGCACCATACTTGGCTTTAAAAGTATTTTAAAACTTTATTTTTATATGTGTGCAGGTGCCCGAGGAGGCCAGAAGAGGTCATTGGATCCCCTGGAACTGGAGTTACAAGCAGTTGTGAGCCACTTTACCTGAGTGCTAGCTACCGAACTCTGGTCCTCTGTGAGGGAAGGAAGAGCTTTTAACCCGCTGAGCCACCTCTCCAGTTCCCTCACAGGCACTTTACCTACTGACCTGTCCTCTCCTGGCCACCTGCCATCTTGTTGTTTTAAACCCTTGTTTGGTGTTTTGCTGAGATTACAAGCATGTGCCAGCACACCCCACAAGGCCTGCCATCTCTTGCTTCCCACCCACCCCTTCTCCAAGCCTGCGCTTGCCCAAGGTATCTCTGCTCATTCTTCCCTCCCTCCTTGGCCTGCAAAGCCATCCTTTTTTGTCTGTAAGAAAGGGCCCCAGGGCCTTTGCACTTTCCGTCCACAGGAAACTTTCCTGCCAAGTTTAGGCCTGGCTAGATGTTCCTTATCAAATTCAGATCTCGATTTAAATGAACAATTTGTCTACTTGCCAAAGAAGCAGAAATTGGCTAAGCAATGTGTTTACAACATGCCAGGCACCTCTCAGGGCCTCTCCTTTATTTCCCCTCAAATCTACCCCTCCTTTCTTTTGTTTTGATTTTGCAGCAGAGTCTGGTTATATAGCTCAGGTTGGCCTCAAACTGCTGATCCTTCTTCCTCCTGACACTGGGGTCTGGCTCCTGTTTCCCATCACAAAGTACAATGCCTTTGTAACTTGAAGCACCACCCCCTCTTTGCATCTGGGCCTCCCAGCCCTCTTTGATGCCCTGGGGGAGTCTTAACTGGACATCCTCTAATTTTGCTCCCT